CACACACACACACACACACACACACACACACACACACACACACCACACACACCCACACACACACACACACACACACACACCACACACACACACACACACACACACACACACACACACACACACACACACACACACACACCACACACACACACACACACACACACACACACACACACACACACACACACACACACACACACACACACACACACACACACACACACACACACACACACACACACACACACACACACACACACACACACACACACACACACACACACACACACACACACACACACACACACACACACACACACACACACGTCCCCATAGCACATCTATCCCAATAATAGCTGACAGATCTCTTCATCCACTGATAAAAACTAGCTCGAAATGACTTACGGCCCGTCCACACTACAGCTTCAAAAAAAGCTTGGAGCTGGGCGTGTCTGAAGCTCGACCAACAACCAATCACATGAATCTCCCGCCCCTGACACACAAGCAGCGGTTTGATTGGCTAGAGCTTGTACTGGCATATGATTTGATTGGCTGACGCTTCCACCGAAAGCTTCAGAAGCTTCAAAAGTTGAACATTGCTCAACTTTTGCAGCCTGAAACGCCAGGAAAGCTCCGCTCTGCTTCCCACAATACAGTTCGGCGAAAAGTGACGTCACCCCATTCAAAATCAATGGGCAGACGCGTTGGAAACCGTTTTTGAAGCTGTCGAAGCTGTAGTGTGGACGGGCTGTTAGAGTTTGTTTTCCAAAAGAGATCAAATATGGACAAAAATGCTCATATTTTAGACAAACACAGACTAGAGACATCAAAGGTCCTATGAACACATTCTGAAATGTACAGAGCTTGAAAACAACACACTTCTCTCCAAATGATAAACTCTATCCACTGATGAAGAACATGTGATACTGGGTAGGTCTTTTTTGGTCTAACTGCATTCTTTCATTTAGAAAAGTTATTAAATGAGGCCTTATTTGATCTCATTTCCTCTCCACTAAAGAGATTTGAATTGAAGTTTTCTTTAAATGGAACGTTTTATTGATTGATAAGTGTGGCCTTGGCTCGCTCTCTAAGCATCTTGTCAGATTCCCAGGCTGATAGCTACACCTCGCTGAGCCCCATGGGAAAACTCCTTTCGGACATCCAAGGAGGCAAAGCCTTCTTTAAGCTCCTCTGAGGACACCATACCAGCTGACTTCCTCTTTAATAAAAACCTGCGGTGCCTTCAGGCGCTCATCAGTCTGATTCTCCCAGACCGAGTCAATGTGGAGCAAAATACCTTTAACAACATATTTCTGCTTGCTAAGGGGCTCCTAACAGACCTTATTTTGTATTCTAACATTTTATGCACTTAACCTTTTTTATATTACCATATTGTATTCAATATGGTCCTTAGATAATAATAATAATGTGTTTATTATGTTCTCCTTATAGCATTGTGAAGCACCTTGAGATGACGTTGTTTTTAAAGTGTGCTATATAAATGTATTATTATTATTATATTATGAGTATTTCTTGTGGGTTTTTGGAAGCAGAATACAGTATATCTCACACAGGACTCTCCACAATAATTACCCGTCAGATTCGGAGGGAAAGTGTGGAGGAGGCGCAGCGTTTGGTATCATTAGGAACATCCATAACATTCATCTGTTTGCAACTCATATCAATATTCCAATGACTGTATATAGACTATTCTGCACTATCTATTATATTCTATTATATTTTATTTCCCTGTACTATTGTATCTGTTTTATTGTGTTGCGCTGTTGGAGGAGCCTGTGACCTAACCATTTCATTGTCATAACTACACTGTAGCTAAGTACACATAACAATAAAAGCCTTGAAACTAATGATGATCCACGCTGAGGAACGAGGACAGGAGAGCGGCAGAACGTACTGTTAAGATTTAATGACTGCTTGTGGATGACCGGCACAAACAGCCATTCTGCATCTGTGCGCTCAGCGTGTCCTTCTGACTAAAGGAAAGACTTCTGTTTCTACTGGCGATAGATAAATACAGGCAGCCATTGTGTGAGGAGGGAACGCGCCAAAGCCGGCACAAAGCGCTCTCTGTGGTTTCAGGGAACAGAACCTGAGTCCTGGACCCGATGTTCTGGGAACAAAAACAACCACGGCCTGTTCGCTGTGGAGAGGGAGAGGAGAGGGGAGAGAGAGAGGAGAGGGAGAGGGAGAGGGAGAGGGAGAGGGAGAGGGAGAGGGAGAGGGAGAGGGAGAGGGAAGGAGAGATCAAAACCTTCATACCTCATCTGAGGAGGCGTTTGCAGAAACACAGTGATCTGCAGAGGGGAGGACTATACGCATAAAGGGGAGAGAGGGAGGACGAGACGAGCATCAGAGAGAGAAGATGATCAGACGACGACCCTTCAGAGCGAGAGACAGTTGCAGAAGGACAGTGATTGCAGAGGGGAAAAGTAAGACGACGACTAAGAGGAGAGAGAGAGAGAGAGAGAGAGAGAGAGAGAGAGAGAGAGAGAGAGGACGAGAAGAGGAGAAATGAAGAGAGAGAGAGAGAGAGAGAGAGAGAGAGGATTTTAAACTGAAACCGAGACATGAATCTCTGATGGACGGAGAATATTTATGCTGCAGGCAAAATGGAGATAATTAAAAGGCCAGATTAAAGTGTCCCTGTATAATCTCCATGTTGTTGATTTTTAATCAGAATCATAATATTTTGTTTAACCTTTAGTGTGTGACAGATGCTCCATTTAAGAATAAAATAAAACATAAATTAAATAAAAAATATAATACAAATATGTAAATAAACATAAGATAAGGGAGACCTTGCAATAAAAAAGTTCAATTAAAATAGTTAGGGTCAAATGTCCAATTAAAGGTCAAATAAGACAACATTTAAAATGTAAATAAAAATGTGCTACAATATATAATATTTAATTACAATAAGTCTTTCGCACAATTCTTGTGGTCAATCTGTCTTGCAATTTATTTACAGAAACCAGAGGAAAACTCCAAGATACTAATTTTAAACTATTAAATGCCTTTATTGTAAAGGCTTAGTCATATTGCACACACTGCAAATCTGCATAGTTTTTCCTCTTTAAATATTAAAAAGTGTAATTATGTGGATATGTGAAATAGGTAAAAATGAACTCTGAATTTCTACATGAGCCGTGTTCACACCGCAGTACTTTTCCCACTTTAGTTCCGACATAGTTCCGAAATGTCGCGTTCACACCAAAAAGAGTTCATGAGAACCTTTTCACCCCCTTTTCCGTCCCTGCTAGAGAGCAGGTACTTTCGTGGGAGAAAAAGATTCCTATGTCTGATTGGCTGGGCGGATTGCAAACCACGCCCCGTTTTGTGAAGCTGCCATTTTATTATCCTTGCATTAGCATTATTAGCATTAGCATTAGCCCAGCACACAAACACAGAGAGACTAACTTATCAAATCAATCAAATCAAAGTTTATTTATAAAGCACATTTAAAAGCGATTTTTGGTCGGGCCAAAGTGCTGTGTACATGTAATAAATACTACAATCACAATAAAAGACAATAAATTACAACAGATATATAAAAAACACAGGGAAAAGTCAGGAGTCGTGCTCCGCTCTGACTACAAGGCCAGAGAGAAGAAGTGAGTCTTTAGTGTAGATTTAAAAACCCCTAGTGTCTGGACCGACCTCACATGGAGGGGCAGAGTGTTCCAGAGCCTGGGGCCAGCTGCTGCGAAGGCTCGGTGCCCTCGGGTTTTGAGCCTGGTCTTGGGCACCACCAGCAGCAGCTGATCAGCAGACCTTAAAGCTCTGGCTGGGGTGTAGCGAAGGAGTAGTTCAGCTATATAGGCCAGAGCCAACCCATTTAGTGCTTTAAAAAAAACGTATGGCAACACAAAATAAAACATGGGGGCGGTGGAGATGAGGAGGTGTCGGCGTTGTGGCGATTTACTCGGAAGGCTTCAGTAGAAGCTGCTGGGAGTCCCAGCAGCTTCTACTGAAGCCAGTCCCCAACTCCGGGGACTTCCAGCCGGGGACTTCGGGTGGCAGTATACGCCGTGAAGTTGTTTGCGGCCTGCCAGTAAACCCAAAGCAGAAGAAGAAGAAGTGACGTCAGCGGCTTCATTTGCCTAATCCTTCCCCAGGGACTTATTCCTGTGTGAACGCGATCTGAACCTAGTTCATGAAGAACTAAAGAGTTCTCAGGAACCTTTGTGGGAAAAGTACTGCGGTGTGAATGCGCCTATGGATCCGTTTCCAAAAACACCTCAAACAACAGGTTTTAAGTCCAGGAAGCTCTCCTACACAAGCATGTTTTTAAATCACTGTATTTACTTCCATCTCTATTCCTGCAAAACAAGAAAATGAAGTCTTCCCCTCTCTCTCAGGTCCTCCATCACCCCAAGACAAGCATCAAACCAAAACAAGCCCTCCGAGGCAGACAAGAAAACAGGACCCCGAACATCTGAACAACTACTGTCACAGCTGCGTCTCCGAGCTTCTTTTGGGAAGCCGCCAGCGAACATGCAGGTAACATAGAATCTGGGTTTGGCTGCAGAGTCAGAGGCCAAACCACCGGGACACACCCAGAGCAGGTATGGCAACATGACCCAACATCATGCATCACTTTTTAATTATAACCCGACACAAGTATAGCAGATCTGAGGAGTTTACAGCACATTTGATGCCAGCCTGTTTTCTCATTAAGGCAAATATCCAGGGAGCAGCTGTGGTTCAAAACCCCAGCGCAGGAACACACACTTACATACAAGGACACGCTTCAGAGGAAATGTACGACTTTAGTGGATGTTATTCCTAACCAGCAGTTGGATATAGTACATACTTACTCTAGGAATGTACTTGTATTTAACATTTAACTATTCAACTACCTTTTATAAGCCAATATACATTTGACTACCTTTATTTCATTAGTAGTTACTTTATAGATTCAGATTATGAGCTAAAACAAAACAATATAAATAAACAGTCTTTTTAACATGCTACTTCTACTTGAGTAAGATATCTCAGTGCGTCTTCCCCCCGCTGTTCCTACCTGAGCAGAGGATGCCTTTGTGTCGGGCGCAGGAGAAGTCGTCACACTCGCAGTAACTCCCGTAGATCTTCCCGAACTCGGACTCGTAGCAGAGGCACTGGTTGCAGCTGCACTCGCCCCGCCCGCTGCACACCTGCTTGCCCTCCGCCTCGCGACAGGCGGTCAGGTACGAGCTGCCCGACTCGCCCTCCTGACACTCGCAGCGAGCGCCCAGGTACCCCGGCTCACAGTGACACGTCCCGCAGTTATAGGTACCTGCAGGGGGCAAAACACACTTTAATCACTTATTGCATTTAGGACTATTCAGCTGCACGACTTCAGTTTCTAACTGTCGTGATCATTTCATTTATTGCAAACTGACTGCTAAAACGCCATATATGGGGCGAAGCCTGCGAGCTAGTTCAGGCAGTCAACTCGAGCACTCATGCTGCATTCATACATAACGCCCCTTGCCACTCTACAACCAACCAACCAGAGTCTCCGTAATATGCCGCTCTATTGAACCTGCCAGATCTCTCTCTATGCATTGCTTGCTGCTGTTATTGCCGCAGCTACTTCCACGTCGCTGCTGCTTGCTGCCCCCCCACCACCCCAGCTTCCACCTGTAGGCTCGGGGTTAGTTATTGATCATCACTCATCGTGCTATGTATATCTGTGGAGTGATGAGGCCCGAGCCTAGACGCCAAACTCAACTATATGCTGCTTCTAATAAACACGTTAAAGAAACACGTGAGTTGTCTGACTGATAAGAATATGGGGCTTAGAAAAAAAGCACACATGTTCTCGTGATAGTGAGGTTTATTCGCCAGATGTCCACTCTTTAAAAGCTGTGAACAAGTGAGGTAAGGTTGCACACTCTCACCAAGTATGGTTCTTAGGCTAGGAAATATGTTCCGCTTTGAAGCTCTGGCTAGAAGCACTTGACCCTCAGAAGATGAACTGAAGTTTTCGCACCAAAAGCAAATATCCACCCTCGTAGCACCTGCTGTTCTTGGCAGGAACATCTGATCTGGGATCTGTGAGTAAAGGGCACGTCGAGACCAAACAACCTGGGCAGGGCATGTGGGCTCAAATGTGTAGGAAAAAAAAGGTAAACATAAGCTTTCGCTGCTTGGATATTGCAGATACAACCACTGTATGCTTGGCATCCAAATCGTTTAAATAAAATGTGTTTCAGTTTCAGTTCACAACTTCAGTTTCTAGCGGTTGTGATTTCATATATCTCTGAAAATAAGATAAGATAAGATAAGAAGCACTTTATTGATCTCAATTTGGGAAATGTTTGCGTTGCAGCAGCATAAAAAGACAAGGAGGCAATTTACATAAGAGAAATTAAAAGACTAGAAATAAACAATCCAAAATATTTCTCAAATAGAAATAAAATAGCATTAAAAAAGTCAAAAATATACATGTGGACAATATTACAACATATAAAGCAGGATATTATATAAACATTAATTGTTCAAGGAATGGATTATTAAATTGAATATAAATGTCAAATGTACAGTAGTTCCTGAAATCAGATTATAGTGTTTTAAACGTACCCACTTAGTCGTTTAAGGCACTCACTACACTGATATGACTGTATTGCTTTTAGAATATCTCAATGCACAGAGTATCATTTTGACTTTATTGTCCACCATTATCTCAACACAACCACAAGTGAGAGCTTCTCCGTAATTATGCCAAGGAAAGTAGTTCAATTTGGGGGTAAAAGTAGAAGTTTTGTTTAGTTGTAGAACAAAGTAGCAGGTCTGCCATCAGTGATTGAGGTGTTTGACTTCCTCGAAGGCATAAACACTCCAGGAAGCTGAAGAGCAGCAGGTTTCTGTCCTGTGTGATTAACAAGGGCTGTGGTGGTGGGTTTTACAGGAGGTTCCTTTCACATGGATATTTAAGTCCCATGGCTTTTAAAAATAGCTTTGTTTCCTGCTGGGAGATGCTGCCAATCTCTGCTGTTTAACTGACATTAACAACAACCGAGAGAAACAAACGAAAAGGAATTAAAAACCAATCTAGTTGCTAATAGTTAGTAAGATTCAAATAGACCAACACAACACTGAAGACAAAACTAACAGAAATGTTAACTGTATTATGTTAAAGTTTTTGCAGTAAATTGGTTTTCTTTAGGGACATTTTTACTATTAAAAAAAACAATGCAGATAAATTCCTAATTTTTTCTTTTTTATGAACATATTATTATGAGCCTTGTTGGTGCCAGGGTAATTCAACCTTTGAGCATTTACTCCTAATCTCCTCCTTTGAATGCATCAAACCACTTTTCAGTGTTGAAAACTAACTCTTTTTTCACTGGCTGTATGGCAATTATTTGTTCAAATTGTGACAGGCACTTGACTAACATTTTTTTTGTGCCAGTCAATTATTCAAATCTGCCATCCACTAGCATATTTTACTTTAATTTAGCTCGTACATTGTGCTAGTTTTGTTCCCCCGATTCTCTTTCAAAACCATACTGTAATATTCTTATTATGTTATATCATTGAGCTCCCTAAATCCATGTGAAATGTCCAATGTAATGCACTACCTTTTGAAAGGACATCCATAACATTCATCTGTCTGCAACTTACAAATTATGTATCTAATATATAATATTCCAATTACTTGTATATAGACTCTCCTTGCACTATTTATATTCTATTCTATTTGTATTACTTGCACTATTTTAAAGGGGACCCATCATGCAAAATGCACTTTTTGATGTCTTCTATACATAAATATGTGTCCCCGGTGTGTCAGGGAACTCACGCAGCGTCAGAAAATAAAACCCTCTCTCTTTTCCTCCGTACCCAAATCTCTAAAAACGGGGCTAAAACGGAGCTGATCCAGATTTGCGTCCGATATGACGTAATATCAGAAATGTGGACCCACGGCCCTATCAGGAAGTTGCTATCAGAAACAATGCCCGACTGTTTTGGACGTAATATGGTCGGTGTTTACATTAGCATCGCTAACACTCAGAGCTAACCTGTACTGGAGAGCATGTGTGTGAAGAAGCAGGAAGTAAAAAGGAACTCACCTTGTGGTATAACCGGCCAGAGAGAAAGCCTTTGAGCTCCAAACTGTTTCAGAGAGAACCCTTGATAATCCATGATATGGCATTTCATCACTGCAGCATTTAGTTTAGACCAGTGGTTCCCAACCTGGGGGGCGCGGGGCGCCAAAGATCGCAGGGGGGGCGCCAGGCCTCAGGTGATTTGAGGCCAAATATCATATTTTTTTTTTTTTTTTTTTTTTTTACATAGAATTGTAACGCAATACATGATTGTCACTAAAAGCCTTGTCTCTACATTACAATAAAAAAAAAAAAAAATGGATTAATTAATTTGAATAGAAATTCAAGTTAGTAGCTATTTTTTGGTATAAAAAGACGGAAATGTATAATTCTTTCTTTAATAGAAATGTTTCTTCTGCCCGTAAAGTGTCCAAACCAGGGTTTTCTGGATAAGCGCATTTTTAAAACATAGTCATTGTCCATGCCGGTTTCAGTTGGATTATTTGTCACAGTTGCTCCAATCAGATCGGTCTCCTCCATTTTGTAGATTATATACGACTTTTGAATCCACATAAACCCCCCCCTGTGTGTGTGTGTGTGTGTGTGTGTGTGTGTGTGTGTGTGTGTGTGTGTGTGTGTGTGTGTGTGTGTGTGTGTGTGTGTGTGATTTTATTTTTTAAAGCTTTATACCCAGAATCAGCACTTTTGAAACAGGAAGTGAAATAGAGGGATATGAGGCATGGCTACAATGGGTGATCTGTTTGGTATTTTGAGCAAAACACTTCATAGACATGTTTTTTATATATCTGAGACCTGATGCTATTGCCTAAAAATAGCATGATAGGTCCACTTTAAATATGTTATCTGTTATATTGTGTTGCACTGTTGGAGGAGCCTGTGACCTAAGATTTCCATTGACATATCTACACTGTAGCTATGAACACGTGACAATAAAAGCCTTGAATCTTGAACAAATCTTGAATCTACCTATGTTGCTGCAGATGCTGCTGTTGGTGTTGGCCGTCCGGCTGCAGCCACAGTCACACCCCTGATAATCCACAGAGACCTGCAGGCTGTCTTTGAATCCCACCGGCTTGATGGTGAAGCTCTGCTCGGTGCCGCGGGGGGGGGCAGCTCCTCGCCTCCACACTCACGTTAAACGATACCTACAAAGAAACAAGTGGTGTAATTAGAAAATGCACAAACACTCGCACTGATGGAGAAAAAGATAGTGACTTCCTGTTCGTGGAATGAGAAGAGTTCAAGTCAAGTTGTTGCAAAATGATTGAAAGAGAAGGGTGAAAGGAATATAAGAAGGTTAGAAAAGTGTTGAAAGAACTATAATTTCACGGGAAGACTAGGGGTAGAGGAATGTGAGCATTTGGTTAGGGGTCTTGTCAAATATCTGGAACAAACCAGAAACCTGCCGGTCCACTGCAACTCTGACTACTTTTAAATCCAGGCTGAAGACTTTATTTTTGCTTTTAATTGAACTATTCACATCTTAAACTGCACTGTAACTATTCATGTTTTATTATCTTTGCTTTGTAATGTCTCTAATGTGTTTTATGCTCTTAATGTCTTTCATTTTTGTAAAGCACTTTGAATTGAAAAGTGCTATTTAAATAAACTTGCCTCAAGTGCAGATGATTTGAGAGATAGAGTAAATACCTCCAATCTCTTCTCTTTCTAAGTGATGTCATCCCACCCTATATTGTTTCATGGGAGCAAACACAGCTACCATACACACCTTCTAAGTGCTGCCAGCCTGTGGACGTGACCCACACATGACCCTGTGTTGTTACGCTCACACCAGTGGGCTTATGTCACCCAAAATTGAGTTTGCAGCTGATGTGGCTTTTGCCCGTAGCAGAAAGCGAGACACGATACAAGACCAACACCCATCTGATTGCTCGGAGGAAGGAAGTCTTGACGAGAACAGAAACCCAACCCCGGCTGTTTTTTCTGTTCCAACAGGAGCACGTTCGTCCACTTTTTTACTCTATCACAGCAGCCATCCTCAGCGCTGTCTGTTCAAAGGCGAGCTCGTGCTTTTTCTTTGATGTTGCCTCGACTTAAATTGATGAAATTATGCTGGTAGAAATGTGCAAACCGACTGCTCAAACACCAGATATAAGACTATGATGAAATGATTGAAGAAAAGCACACATGTTCTCGTGATAGTGAGGTTTATTTGCCAAATTTCCACTCTTTAAAAGCTGTGAACAAGTGAGGTAAGGTTGCACTCTCATCAAAGGCTTTTCCGCTTTGAAGCTCTGACTAGAAGCACTTGACCCTCAGAAGATAAAGTTAAGTTTTTGCACCAAAAGCAAATATCCACCCTCGCAGCACCTGCTGTTCTTGGCAGGAACATCTGATCTGGGATCTGTGAGTAAAGGGCACGTTGAGACCAAACATGTCACAACCTGGGCAGGGCTCAAATGTGTAGAAAAAATAGGTAAACATAACCTTTCTCTGCCTAGATCTGACGAATACATCCACTGTACGCTTGGCAGCCAAACACAAAAATCAGGACAACTCAAACTGTTAACATCGCAATAATTTGATTATTGGAAAAGCCACTACAAGGTGTAATTAGGCAACTAAGTTTAATTTCATTATTTTATATATCTGCAACTTATTCTTTAGATTGATCATTGAATATTTTGGTCTATAAAATGTCAGAATACAGTGATGCAGGAGATCTCCATATTAAGAGGTGCAAAAACAGCTTTGTCTGTTATTTTTGCATGAAAAATAAAACACATTTAATTGAAATAGATAAATATATCGCAATTTCTATTTTGCAATTTTTCCCAGCTGTAGTCAAAATGATCACTGCCATAAGATTCCAGGATGTTCAAAATTGACTATAACAAACAATTAATGCAGGTATGATGGGAAACGTAAGAGATAATGATACGTAAACACACTGCTAGTCATGCTTTGTAAAAAAAAAAATATACAACTCACTGTAAACTCTGGTATCATTAACTTTGTTTGATTTTATCACCGTTTTTTATCACTTTCTTTCATCTTAAAGACTTAACACTGACAACAAATGCATCAATAGTTTTGGTCAAATAAATCTAGCAGCAGAAATCAAACAACATCCAACATTTTAACCATAAATACCAACCCTCTTTTCAAAAATCCAGATATCGCTGATTATTTCAACTGAATATTTTATTATACAAAGATTTGCATTAATACCCATTACCATTTATAGGGATTTTACTATCCAGCATATATAACAAGCTGATTCATGACACAGGAAAGGTCGACTACGTCACATGTTACCCGGACTCCCCACTTGAGCGCGGGAAGCTTAACGAGTTAACGAAGGACACAATTAGATTAACTGTAAATAGAGGATCATGTGCCTGCTGAGGACAACTGGGAGGTTGTGGAGAGATAACGGATCAAAAAGTTAGCAGGAAGTAGTAGTAATGGAGGACAGAGGGGGTAAGGAGATGATACATTGAGACTAAACTCATTGAGAAAACGCCTCGACGGCGAGTTATGTCATTCGAGGAGAGATGTATAGCAGGGAATCAGTTCAGGGAAGGATAAGAGAGAGGTGTTGAATTTATTATTAAAGAGGTGGGATGACTGAATCACATCACAGGACAACGTGATACAAGAGCAGAGCTAACCTCCAATAAGGACACATTTCATACTAGAACCAAATGTTGTTCCAATTTCAGCGGGAGTTCAAACTAATTTTCAGAATATTCCTACACCACCTGAATGCAGCATAAAGTCCCCTATCCGGTAAAGTTTAATATAAATGGTGTGTCTACATCATGATTTGGAACCAATGTCAACATGTTATGTGTTTTTTTCTTAGCCCATGCTACACTCTTACACCGAATTTCAGGAAAATCGGGGCAGTAGTTTTATATTAAAAGAGTCTCTACTGTGACATGTTTACATGCTTTCATGTTCAAAAAGCTCTTTATTTTTCACCTCTTTTCACCCTCTGTCTGAAACCAAAGCCCAGTCTGATCCGATTGGTTAGCTGGCCTGCTCTGTTGTCAATTTAAGTTCTTATAACTGACTTAAATTCTTATAACTGACTCAAGTTCAATTAACTGAGATACTGTAAATGAAGCTCAAACTAAACACATAATCAAATTTAAAACACCAAAACGCTTTCATTAATTTGCATGAATGCCTATTCAACGTCATACATTTCTGTAGAGTTACAGCCAGAATGAAGCCATCTTAACTACATCCACTGCAGCTAGCATTTCTCCTCCTGCCAGTTCACTTCTTCTTTCATGGCTTTCAGTTTCTCAGGCCTCCTCCTGCCCACTTTGGTGTGAGGTCATTGAGATGCAGCATGAGGCTCCATGGCTAACACACTGCAACCAAACTGGGCCACATCCTCAGAAACACTGGGAAGTTTGGCACCCTGCGCACTGTCCTAAATCTCCTTTCACTGCGGAGGATAAAAGACCCGAGCGAGGCCCATCACCCCAGAGCCCCCTCTCCATTCCCTGCTGTTGTTCTGCCTCAGCTCCTCCGGCACCCTTTCCCATCCAGAGCCCAGGAAAATAAAGCGGTGGATAGAAAAGCACGGGGGGTTTGGAGGAGAAGAGTTCCCACTGTGTGACAGCATGTATGAAGCTGCCCCTTGCTAGCATTTTCAATGGATCCAGGACTCAAAACAGATCTCAATTGAAGCCTGTATAGAATATAAAGTGACCAGCAGAGAGAGGGCTCTGCAAAATGCAAAGCAATTAACACGTACCATCGTCCTGGGTCACATGACCTCGGCTTTTGTTCAGAGACAGAAACTGAGAAGCATCCCAACTGGCTAAGAGCCATGGAAACACAGCAGCCTTCAAACATTCAATATATTATTCTCATGTTTGCTCATACATGGGTGCACCATCCAGAATCCACATAAGAAATGAGCTGTCGGGAGAACAGAAAACAAGAGCTGCCTTCATCACCAAGTGAGTTTCTGGTCCTGCATTATGTAATAACTCCACAAACAGTCATTCATGTTCACTTCATTATGCAACCGAGAAAGCATCCTAACTGCATGCAGGTCCTTTACTTAAGTAGAAGTACTAATACTCCAATTTAAAAGTACTTTATCTAGAATGGTAAAAGCATTAAAGTACTGTATGATCAGTCAAATCCACATAAAGTATTAGGAGTAAAAGTAGTATTTTAAATGAAAGGTAAAACATTTGAAGTTAAAACTGTGAATCATGTTTACACAAAAATGAAAATCGTTAAACATTTATTAATAGTGATGCCAATTAATAAATGCATCTAAAAATTCACCCTAAAAATAAGAAAAGAGCTGCTCCCCAATTTAGGAGAACAGGAAAAAGGGGCGGGGCTTGGCTGTATCCCATACAAATATATGATGTAATAACACTGCATTACGTAATAACTAATCAATCAAATCACTATGTTATATCATTATCTGCTGCCCTTTGATGACAGCATGACTGCAATACATCATAAAACATTACTTTTTTTAATGTCACATATTGCAGTGGTGGTATCACAAAAAAGCAAGTGTGCCGTTTCTGTGTGCTGAGGACCAATACTATACATTACAAACATAAAACTTTTGGATACTCAACATTTCCATGTTCACAAAAGGAGCAGGCAACTAGACTATTGAACACAAACGGAGAGATTGAAGCTGGACCTACAGAGCAGACGATGTTCAGATTGAAAACACGACTGTTATAAAACACATGGGGCTGTGTTATTGTGTTATCGTGTGTACTTGTTGCTACAGGCACCAGCGAGCAGATCCAGAAAGTCCAGTTTGAGAATCAGATCCATGAGCTCTAACGACTATCAGACTGCACGTCACTGCACAGAAGTTTAATAACAACACGAACACAGCCTGGAGACTCAGAGCTCTGAGATGTATCCGCTGCAGATTAAATCCAGCTGAGAGCCAGAATATTTCCTCAGGAATGACCCCAGTCTGCCAGAGAGAGCTGTTTGATGGTAATAAGGCATTTCCTTTGTTAGGATGTATTAGATACAGAGGTGGGAAGTAGTTGAGTACAAATACTTTGTTACTGTACTTTCTACTTCTTACATTTTCCAAACAGCTGGTTCCTTTAGTTTGAATGTGTGTTTGGTGCGTGATCATTGTTATTTAGAGTCACTGCGTGCCTATTGATTTGAACACGATCCGTGTATCCATCACTTCCTGGTCTTCTTTCTCTTTAGTCAGTACTTCTACTTTTAGCAGAGTATTTTTAAACACGAGTAAAGGATGTGTGTACTTTTGCCCTCTCTGGTTAGATAAGCCTTATTAAGAGATCCCCACACAAAGCTTGACCTGGAGTAACCTCTCACAGAAACTAAGAGTCGATGTGACTTTCATTACTGCGACTCCACATGTGCCAGCGCTGTCTCTTTGGTTACAGCGAGGGGCAACATAAACCGTAACCCCCCCCCCCCCCCCCCCCCGGATCTCAGACAGGAAGTCTCGTCAGAGGACTCAAAGGTCACACAGATTGCCAAGTCACAACGTGCTGTCTTTAGCCATTGACTCAGATTATTAATAGCATTTTAAGCGGAGTAGAAGTAATAGGGCAGGACAACATGACCTAAAATTAGGGCTGCTCAATTAATCGTATTTTAATCGCAATTACGATTATGGCTTGCAACGATTACGAAAACAACGTAATCAAAATAAAAAAAATTTTTTTTTTTTTTTTTGTCAGTTGAATTATACTTAAGGTTCAGGGTAATCAACTGTTAAAAACATACTGTTAAAAAAAAAAAAATTCTCCAATAAATGGATGTTTTCAAAGTAATAATCGTAATAATTTAATAATCGTGATGTCAATTATTGACCCAAATAATCGAGATTATGATTTTTGCCATAATCGAGCAGCCCTACCTAAAATCTCTAAAAATAAAATTGTTCATTGGGGGATTTTCCCTTTTATGGACAATAACATTACCAGTTCATAGATGTATCTGCCCAAAAACTTTTTGTAACACTTTCTATAATGCCCATGTCTATAACGCATTTTAAAAACATACCTTTAATATGTTATCCGTTTAAAGCGCCGTATCATTATGTATTCAACACTTCCTGCAACCATATGACTCAACCTCTAACTACAATGTGCTGCGAGCTATTGAATTTACAGGAACACCTTTTTCTTTCTGCTGCTGTTAATCATAACATGGGGAGCAATTTACTGGCAACAATTGCAACGTCAGTGCCAAACCAAAATCATTTCCAAAACAAAAAGCACAAATGTTAGCCGCTATTTAAATCAGTTTGAATCTGCAGCCTCTCTACTCTGACAACTATTTCCATGTGCCCTCAATTATGCTAAAAATGTTTTTCTAAAATGTGCCACAAAAGTGATTTGGAAGAAAAGCTTGGGACTTTTTCATCCTGTCTCGATGTTTTTCAAATCATAAATGCAAACTAGTGCTATGTTAGTTGCAAAAACTCCATCATAGAAGGGTGCCTATGTTTTTCATATCTTGATAATACTACAAACCAAGTTATGAACCAACAGCATCATTATTCACTTCAATGTTTTTTCCAGGACAATGCTTCTTCTGAAACTAAAGCGCCCTACAGCCCACTGCATGGAAAATCTGATTCATTCAAAAACAGCCATCCTGAAGATGACAAACACAGCAGTGGCTCAGTCAGTAGGGGCTTGGACTGGGAGCCGTAGGGTCGCCGGTTCAAGTCCCCGAACAGACTTAAATATGGAGTGTAGGTGCCATAACACTACTTAGCTCAAGTTCATTATTTGTATTGTCACCTTTATTTGCTTGTTGAGCACTTCCGGTAATTGTCACATGGGTGTGGTTTGGTTTATAAGTCACCTGTTTGATGTCGAGTGCACATGACAGAGGGTGAGCTTGTGCTGTCATTTTTTCTGTTGACCGTTTTGTCCATAGTTACTATGTTTTGATTTTGTTTATTAAATATCCTTACAACTATATTCCTTCAACATGGACTTTCTTTTCGAAAACGCGTCACAGTTTAAAGCCAAGTTTAGCCTCTCAGCAGCTAACTCATAGGGAGTTATTGCCGCTACATGGAGTGTGGACTGCTACTTGGAGAGGTCCCAGTTTACCTCCTGCCCTGCCGTGGTGCCCTTATGCAAGGCACCGGACACCCCCCTTCCCCCCTAACTCCCAGGTAGTACTAGACTCCTGGTACTAGGATGGGTTAAAAGCAGAGAACACATGTCACTGTGTGCTGTGTGCTCTGCATGTGTGACCATTAAAGAGGGCTTCATCCCTCCCATTCTATTCTATTAAGATCCAACACAGTCTCTGACTCCAAATGTCCTCAAAATAGAAATTGTGACCATCGAACTGGAGATACGGGGCTCATACCAGATCAAATGTACAGTACATAGCAGGCTCTGTATGTTCATTGTAATGCTGTGTTTAATGCATTCTTGTTGCAACTGGAGCTGCTGTGATGCAAGAAACATGTAAGACTTGATCTGACCATCGAGTATTTGTCTTTGTTGGGAAAATCCTGAATGTCCTCTTCCAATATGAGAGTAACATGATAACAAAGGTATCCCAACTGTAGCTGTGAACATGACAGGATGTCTGATTACCTAGAAGAGCCTCAGGACTCAGCCTCTATAGAGATAGACATGTGACAAGCATGCTCATTTCTGACGTGGAGCTAATCTGAAGTAAACATTGAATACTGCTTTCTATTCCTCCATCTTGTGACTGTGTAACTTCCTCACTTGGATATCAGCATGTGAAGGACACTGTTCAGGAACTAGTTGATGCTCTGTGTGTGATGACTACTTCCATTCTGGAGAGGATCAGAAATACATGGATCCTGAGATTGAAGCTCAAGACGGTGACGAGTGATGTTTTTCTAACAGTCTTCATTAAGCTACTGATAAAGTTTGCTGTATCACATAGAAATAAAAAGGCTAAGGTGAAGAGAACCACTTCTTCAGGACCAACAGGATGCTTGACACATGTATACAGTGAGGAGAGCAGGGACTCACAGTGTCTCCTATCTTCAGGTCGGCACACTTCCTGAGGCCCGGCAGCGGCTTCCCGTCCTGGCAGGTGGCGGTGAAGGAAGAGGCTTGATGTCCTCCGGGTGGTCCCACACCGACCAGCTCCACTTTAGAGCGGATGTCTGAGGAGGAGGAGGAGGAGGAGGAGGAGGAGGAGGAGGAGGAGGAGGAGGAGGAGGAGGAGGAGGAGGAGGAGGAGGAGGCAGGAGGAGGAGGAGGAGGAGGAGGACACATTGGTGGTTGTTAGAGACTCAGGGTTTAAACAAGGCTTCTCTGCATAATGAAAAAGAAGTTGCATGTTCATATTTTTCCAGTGTCCTGAAAGTAGTAAATGTAACGCCTCCACACGCAGCATTTATATAAAACCACCTCAGTTTATCTCCATCAGGCCATAACCCCGGAGTCAGTGTGGAAAGAGTGAAACACGGGGATGTGTTGCCCCGGTTCGTTGCATTTTTATAGTTAATCTCACCAAAAACCACAGGCGCGTGCCTGGACGCAGGTTTTGGTGTGTGTGTGTGTGTGTGTGTGTGTGGTGTGTGTGTGTGTGTGTGTGGTGTGTGTGTGTGTGTGTGTGTGTGTGTGTGTGTGTGTGTGTGTGTGTGTGTGTGTGTGTGTGTGTGTGTGTGTGTGTGTGTGTGTGTGTGTGTGTAAAACTTTAGGAAAAATCAGAAGGTTACAGAAGGTAACCTCCCAGTGTTTAGTGAAGCCCATGGAGCTAACAGCCCAGAGTTATAATGTGGCAGCAGCAGGAATGTTAATAAGGCCGTGAGTCAATGCTCTTCATTCAAACTCACTCCCACACGCTGAGCACATCAAGTCTGGTCGACAAAAGTTCCTGTCGCAGAGAATACGCTGCCACGGGCTAAGAAAGGTTGGTCCTGACTGAGGCAAGGGAAATCTGCACACCCACACAGGAAACATCCAGGGAACGGCTCATGCAGTTCACTTCAGAAAGTTTAGCAGACGAACGAAAATGTGTTTTATAAGACAGGAAATCAGTCTTCAGATGAGGGTGGTGGACATCCTAGAGAATAATGTGACATGTACTTATTAGGGTGTGTCGTTACTGTTTGTTCGGTGCTAAAATAGAACATGATTACCAAACATTTGCAAGAGCTTTGGTTCATTTTTGGAAGTGTTTGTCAGCTTTTTAAAATGAGAGATGAGCAAATCCTGCAGGAAAAGTGCAGCCTATTGTTTCTTTTAATATGGGCTCTACTCAAGAAGACACACAGATATTTAATATTGCATCCACTGAAGTCAGGCTTGAATGTTTTTGCAACTAAAAGCTTCTATTTTTGAATTTTAGATTGACTGTTTAGAGTCAAACTCAAGTGTCGCATGTGAGGCGAAATCCAATGTAAGGTAGGACAGTAGGGTTAATTTAAACCATTTCTTATTTTCATTTAATACTGACTTCTACATCTGTCAATTGATTCATCTTCAAATAATTACTGTCCCTATGGGAAAAATCGCATGGAGAAAAAAAAATCCAGTTTGCTACAAAGTCAGCTGTTAAAACCACTTCCTGTCGACAGATGAGAAACCCAGCTTGTGTGTGAGCTGTCAGCTGGAGGCTCATTAGCAGCGTCTCAGTAGTGCGAAGACTTTAAAGAATTTCCCTCCCTCTTTCTCCCCCTCCTCATGTCTTTCTTCTAAACCCCTGTCTGTCTTTCCTTGGCTCTCAAACACACACATAAACAGGAAACCACACACACTCACACTCAGGGTGTTTCTCAATCTCGAGTAAAGCTGCTCCAGAGCCACTATTTCAAGCATACTACGTCATCGAGTGCCGCCGAAGGACTGTTCCAATGTCCAGCATACTTTGAATTCTACCGAGCCCGGCGTACTTCGTAGCGAGAAATTTCGAGGCTGCACATGTGTAGAATCCGCGGTCTTGAAATCCCCACAATGCTTTGCGCACGGACCAATTTCCCCAATTCTGTGGCGGAAAATGTAAGGCGGGGCCTCTCATATGACGCACACTTGCTAGCCTGTTCCACTCTTCGGGTGTTTCTCAATCGCGAGTACGCTTGCTTGGTAGCACATGTCTTCCGAGTCACTTCCTTCAGAAGCTAGGCAAGAATCCTTCCTGGCATTCGGAAAACGAAGAGTGGAACAGGCTAGCAAGTGTGCAGGTGTGCCTTACATTTACCGCCACAGATTTGGGGAAATTGGTCCGTGCGCAAAGCATTGTGGGGATTTTAAGGACGCGAAGTCTACCCATGTGCAGCCTCGAAATTTCCCCCAAACCAAGGACGCGGCCTCGGTGGAATTCCAAGTATGCTGGACATTGGAACGGTCCTGCTGCGCCACTTGATGACGTAGCATCCTTGAAATATTGGCTTGGAAGCCAGTATCCTCGAGATTGAGAAACGGCCTTCGTTTTCCAAATGCCAGGAAGGATTCTTGCCTAGCTTCTGAAGGAAGTGACTCGGAAGACATGTGCTACCAAGCAAGCATCCTCTGCATTGAGAAACACCCACACTGACAGATAGTCTTCACTCACGTTGTACGCTGCGATGATCAGCTGAATGACGTTCTTAGAGTCCGTGTCCAGGATTTCCACCGTGGTTCCAGGTATGAGTGCAGTGAAGTTCTTTGAAAGGGAAAGAAGTCAAAGATAGTTACTTGCATGAAAGAAAACTCCCCTGTCAACATTATTAAACGAATACATAAAGAATAAGATAAACGTAAGTTCACTTCTAACAAAATGTCTTAATAAATACAAATCATTTGTTTCCAAACACTTAAAGGTGGGGTGGGTAAGTTTGAGAACCCGGCTCGAGATACACTTTTTGTTATATTCCATGGAATGCTCTTAACATCCCGATAGCAATGAATATCTGAAGTGCTTTGACAAAAAATGTCATCTCTGGAAGCCGTGGCGCTGTAAAAAGCACGACCAATCATTTTAGCCGGCCCGGCTAAAGTAACTGGATGGCCTGCCTGCCTGTCAGCCTTCCATCTGGGCACAAACTTATCTCGTGCCCTCATTGGTCATGTGCGCGTTCGTGTGTGTTGGAGGAGGGGCTCTGTAAGGAAGTAGCAGATTTTCTCCGGTTGTGTATTTTCAAATTCTAGCGCACTCGAGCTGGTTTCTCCAAAATGACCTACCCCACCTTTAAGAATACTGACAGCTTGTAAAAAAAAGTTTAAAATGTTGAATTATTTATTTATTCTCAAGATAAATCCTAACATTGTTTAAGGATCATTCGATTTATTAAGACGAACAACCACTTATATAACCCAAATAAAAAAATGGATATGCATTTATGTGTAAAGCACAATTTAAATGTTGGGAAAATATTATTAGATGTTCAGGTTTTTCGTATTTTGAAATGAGCCCGTCGTTAAACGTCATTGGCCATATAATAAATAGGAAAAGTATGGAAATCAAAGTACCTTGTAAATAACGTAGAGGCGTTTCGTCACGGCGAAGATGAGGAAGATGTTATTTTCGGCCAGTTTCTCCCCCAGCAGAGCCAGAGAGGGATAGTCCTGTGAGGAGAGATTGCAAGGCATTATGGGTATTTTCACAAACAGGAAGCTCACTACCGGATGCTCTTCTGACCCGTGTTGTGTTTACATTGCTCTGCTGGCTCTTTGACACCAGAGCTTCATGTGGGTTCTTCATGTTATCTCTTTTCAGCATCAGGGAGTCTGAGAGCGTTCCAGATCGCACTTTGAGACGTGGTTATCTTTATTGGATTCAATTCAGTCCTCCTGAGAGACATTTTCATTTAAGACGGATGGAAAATAAACAAACTCCCAGTGATTTGTATCCATAACCAATGACTTAGTTTTACTGAAAAAACTGAAATGGGACTTATGCAACGCCTTATGGTTAGAGTATGAAAGAAGAGGAACTCCAACAGCACTAAAGTGTAGGGTTTTTTTGTCTAAAATTAGGATCGATTGATTATAATATCTGCAGCCCACAAATGTTACAAGCCAATCAAGAATATGTCTCTAAAACACAAGATAATACAGTTGATTATATAAAATGATTGTGACCAAACTTATTTCCCTATTTCTAATCTGTGGACTGTGAAAACAGTCTAAAATTAACTTACTAACTTAAAAAACATTGGGGGAATCAAAGCTATGGGTAATACGAAAATAGGACCATATATAGATATACAATAGTGTATCACTTCCTGCATGAGGCCCAGTGTTTTCCCCAAACCATTGCACAGGCACAAAGAAACTGAGGTAAAGACAATCTTCTCCTTCTTATGCGGTCTTATGAAATTGTTTGTTTCGAGTGGACACGAAAATTCCCCCATTAAATGAGAGCGCAGTGCAGTTCACGTGATGATACGTTTGATAGCATTAGTCCTCTGGCATCTCAGACTGTATGCGCGTATCATGTGAGCAAAACTGTTTTTGTGGGATTTGAATGCATCTGACAACAACATACTCCTCATCAGCATTATCACTCGTATCATAAATGTCAGATGGAAGAGTGAATAAGGACAGGGATTTAGACAAACATTTCGAATCTATTTGTATCTCTGCACGCTCTTCAGCTGTGTCGTTACAAGTCAACAGTCTATTCTGAGGGTTTTCTGGCAGCCTCCAGGTATAATGTGTGTATCAGACCTTCTCTCTGCTATTAATACACATGTTCTTACTCAGGTTGCCGGGTTGAATTAGAATTTATTTGAAGCTGAATTCACATAAGTAGTTATTTGATATTGAACCAGATTAAGTGAAAATATCTGACATAAAACCTATTTAAATCAAGTTATTTATCCTAGGGCTTAGAGCCATGTGTAGCTAGAAACTCACGAAAGGTACGTTTATTATCATACAAGACACCTCGTCATCGAAGAAGGAAGCTGCTCAAAGAGTGAGACATTACTCACTCTTTGAGTAAACATTGCTAATTCCAATGTCCATGTACAGCTGGAGTCTGTATGGAAAAGTACCTGAAGGTGTGTTGGACTTTGGCAATGTGTGACCCAGTGAACTAAGGGTTTAAGTTAAATGTGATAAATAGTATAAAAGGACATAATACATCCTGTTGCTTAAATAAGACTGCTCCTCTTTTTGGAGATATGGCCAAAACCTCCTATCCGGATAATATAGTAATAGCTTATCCTCTAGGTAATTTCATCACTTGATGCATATCATGATATAGGCTGGGAGGCTGTGGCGCAGTGGGCTAGTGCGTTGGTGTTGGGACCAGGGGGTCACAGGTTCAAACCCCACTGCAGTCAGCATGTCCTTGTGTCCCTGGGCAAGACACTTCACCCCAAATTGCTCCTGTCTAGCAAGTAACATGTAATGTAGGCTAATATAGCACGTTTTCCTGGTAAGTCGATAAATAAACAGTCTTTATGTAAAAACCACATGGTAAAGCCTACTTTTGCATACTCCTGTTTAAATTAAATAAATGAAAAATGACGAAACATTTGCGAGATTTCTAATCATAATATCTATATAATGTAATCATTTAATTGAAGATATGACTTAATGACTGAAAAGCGATACATTATCATATTAAATAATTGCACAGCCCTACTCTCAAGCTAACTGTAATGTTTAATTTTATAAAAGGCTACTAATTAGTCAGAATTATCCTGATGAGGTAGATTTAAAGAAATAAATCCATTTACAGCATAGACAACCAAATGATAAATCTGATAATGTGAACTCCTCCTCACCATCTGTGTGGAGGCGCTGTACTCGTTCTTGTCGTTGAGGTGGCACTCCCCGTCGTGGGGCTGCACGAGGCCCCCCAGCCGTCCGTCCAGAGCCAGGTGAGGAACATCGTCTGTGGCGAACACCAGCAGGTGGTACGCCTCCTTCCTCCAGCCGATCTCCTCCTGAAAGAGACACAGCAGGTCAGGACCACGCAGTATAAAGAGAGCTGGATGCAGCGTGGGAGGCAGGACACGTTCGTTTCTAGGGAAGTTGCTCAGTGGCGCATGAAGCCAAAATATGACTGACTCTCCAGAGCAAAAATACCTGCACCTGGATCTCAAGTCCCGCCTTTGATCTCCCGATTTTATCTCTGTCAAATGAATGGAGAGAAAAACTAACTCTGGATTCGGCTTTTAGTGCATTTTACAACTTTTAGACCCTAATGGTTAATACAACTGGTTGATTTAGTTTAAAATTAAATCAGTTGATTTACAGATGTCTCTTTCCTTATGTAAGTCAAGGGGAAAAAGTATTTTTGCGCCAAATGACGTTAAACAGACTGACACTGAAGTTGTAGTACCGCCGTTTAGCCAGTACGAACATTTGCTTCAACTACAGGCACACTTCCTGTCGGCTTGGTCAGGACTGTTGAGGTCTCCATATTAAGTTGAATAATTAAAACGAAGGTTAATATAATCAAATATATATTCTTGTATAACCCACAATGAAAATGCATTATATTTCATGTTCTATAATCACAGTATACATAACCACAAGTGGTTTGTTAAATTGAGTTTAGAAGGCCTATTATAGTTTATGGGTGTCACTGATTAGCAGAGGGGAGACAGTTGTCATCACTCACAGCAGGCTGTCCACAGGGGGCCCCTGACTCAAATGAAAAGTACTGAAGCCCCAAAATGTGTTTAGGCCATACCATAGGAGAATATGTCTGGACATGTCCAGTCCTGCACACCAGAGGCCATGACCTTTCCCTACATATATGGGTATGAGGTGTATCTTTGAGTTTTTTGCTGTCCTTTTGTGCACAATAAAAGCACTAGCTGAGAGGGAGAAAGCTCCAGAGCGGGGCCCTGAAGAATTTAAATGTCACAACTGAAGAGGGACAGTTGAAGTTAAAATGTAAATGTCACAACTGAAGAGGGACAGTTGAAGTTATACTTTAAATGTCACAACTGAAGTGGGCCAGTTGAAGTTATAATGTAAATGTCACAACTGAAGAGGGACAGTTGAAGTTATACTTTAAATGTCACAACTGAAGTGGGCCAGTTGAAGTTATACTTTAAATGTCACAACTGAAGAGGGCCAGTTGAAGTTAGAATTTAAATGTTACAACTGAAGTGGGCCAGTTGAAGTTATACTTTAAATGTCACAACTGAAGAGGGACAGTTGAAGTTAGAATTTAAATGTTACAACTGAAGTGGGCCAGTTGAAGTTAGAATTTAAATGTTACAACTGAAGTGGGCCAGTTGAAGTTAGAATTTAAATGTTACAACTGAAGAGGGCCAGTTGAAGTTAGAATTTAAATGTTACAACTGAAGTGGGCCAGTTGAAGTTATACTTTAAATGTTACAACTGAAGTGGGCCAGTTGAAATTAGAATTTAAATGTTACAACTGAAGTGGGCCAGTTGAAGTTATACTTTAAATGTTACAACTGAAGAGGGACAGTTGAAGTTAAAATTTAAATGTCACAACTGAAGAAGGACAGTTGAAGTTATACTTTAAATGTCACAACTGAAGAGGGACAGTTGAAGTTAGAATTTAAATGTTACAACTGAAGTGGGCCAGTTGAAGTTATACTTTAAATGTCACAACTGAAGTGGGACAGTTGAAGTTAGAATTTAAATGTTACAACTGAAGTGGGCCAGTTGAAGTTAGAATTGAAATGTTACAACTGAAGAGGGACAGTTGAAGTTATACTTTAAATGTCACAACTGAAGAGGGACAGTTGAAGTTAGAATTTAAATGTTACAACTGAAGTGGGCCAGTTGAAGTTATACTTTAAATGTCACAACTGAAGAGGGACAGTTGAAGTTAGAATTTAAATGTTACAACTGAAGAGGGACAGTTGAAGTTAGAATTTAAATGTTACAACTGAAGTGGGCCAGTTGAAGTTAGAATTTAAATGTTACAACTGAAGAGGGCCAGTTGAAGTTAGAATTTAAATGTTACAACTGAAGTGGGCCAGTTGAAGTTATACTTTAAATGTTACAACTGAAGTGGGCCAGTTGAAGTTAGAATTTAAATGTTACAACTGAAGTGGGCCAGTTGAAGTTATACTTTAAATGTTACAACTGAAGAGGGACAGTTGAAGTTAAAATTTAAATGTCACAACTGAAGAGGGACAGTTGAAGTTAGAATTTAAAATTTAAATGTTACAACTGAAGTGGGCCAGTTGAAGTTATACTTTAAATGTCACAACTGAAGAGGGACAGTTGAAGTTAGAATTTAAATGTTACAACTGAAGTGGGCCAGTTGAAGTTATACTTTAAATGTCACAACTGAAGTGGGCCAGTTGAAGTTAGAATTTAAATGTTACAACTGAAGTGGGCCAGTTGAAGTTAGAATTGAAATGTTACAACTGAAGAGGGACAGTTGAAGTTATACTTTAAATGTCACAACTGAAGAGGGACAGTTGAAGTTAGAATTTAAATGTTACAACTGAAGAGGGACAGTTGAAGTTATACTTTAAATGTCACAACTGAAGTGGGACAGTTGAAGTTAGAATTTAAATGTTACAACTGAAGTGGGCCAGTTGAAGTTAAAATTTAAATGTCACAACTGAAGTGGGACAGTTGAAGTTAGAATTTAAATGTTACAACTGAAGTGGGCCAGTTGAAGTTATACTTTAAATGTCACAACTGAAGAGGGACAGTTGAAGTTAGAATTTAAATGTTACAACTGAAGTGGGCCAGTTGAAGTTATACTTTAAATGTCACAACTGAAGAGGGACAGTTGAAGTTAGAATTTAAATGTTACAACTGAAGTGGGCCAGTTGAAGTTATACTTTAAATGTCACAACTGAAGTGGGCCAGTTGAAGTTATACTTTAAATGTCACAACTGAAGAGGGACAGTTGAAGTTATACTTTAAATGTCACAACTGAAGAGGGACAGTTGAAGTTAGAATTTAAATGTTACAACTGAAGTGGGCCAGTTGAAGTTAGAATTTAAATGTTACAACTGAAGTGGGCCAGTTGAAGTTAGAATTTAAATGATACAACTGAAGAGGGCCAGTTGAAGTTAGAATTTAAATGTTACAACTGAAGTGGGCCAGTTGAAGTTATACTTTAAATGTTACAACTGAAGAGGGCCAGTTGAAGTTAGAATTTAAATGTTACAACTGAAGTGGGCCAGTTGAAATTATACTTTAAATGTTACAACTGAAGTGGGCCAGTTGAAGTTAGAATTTAAATGTCACAACTGAAGAGGGACAGTTGAAGTTAAAATGTAAATGTCACAACTGAAGAGGGACAGTTGAAGTTAGAATTTAAATGTCACAACTGAAGTGGGACAGTTGAAGATAGAATTTAAATGTTACAACTGAAGTGGGCCAGTTGAAGTTATACTTTAAATGTTACAACTGAAGTGGGCCAGTTGAAGTTAGAATTGAAATGTCACAACTGAAGAGGGACAGTTGAAGTTAGAATTTAAATGTCACAACTGAAGTGGGCCAGTTGAAGTTAGAATTTAAATGTCACAACTGAAGAGGGACAGTTGAAGTTATACTTTAAATGTCACAACTGAAGAGGGACAGTTGAAGTTAGAATTTAAATGTCACAACTGAAGTGAGCAGTTGAAGAGATTCTAATGTATTTGATTTCCCACCCGGTAATCCATGAGGATTTTCCTCTGAATTCCACCGGAAGAGGTTTTTAATACAACTGAAGAGAGACAGTTGAAGAGAGACTGACAAAATAAAATAAGAAATGTAAAACTGTGAATTGAGGTTTCATATTAGTAATTGATCATACAAAACACTAATATGACAATCATACAAAACACATCATGCTGTGGGCATGATGTGTTTTGTATGATTGTCATATTGTAACGAGAGAAGGTAAAAACCCTGTAAAAGTGTGGACCATTTTCTTCAGATAAAATCATCCCACCCTTTTGGATTGAGATAACTTAAAAGAAATCTGCGCTCTCCTCTCCTGCTTTAAGGTAAGATTGCACAACTGCCACACTCACACTTACTTAAAGCCACACCTCATTACTGATACCAAAATCCTTCGGGATCGCTTAAACAGATTTAGCGTGTCGTCTGAAACAGCAGTTCATTGAACCTGGTTCTTCAGGAGTTAATAGAGGTGAGATCTTGCTGACTTCGGTGGATCTGAGCCAAGCAGTAAACTTACATAGACTCAATAGCTTATGTTAGGTAAATTAGTAGGTCTGAGTAATTGCCGGAATAAATTAACAGGCCTCCCGACTCCAACAGGACCCAGAAGAAAATATTTGATTTCCTTCTTCATGTGCCAGAGGGTTCATCTAATCTTATAAGAGAGTGTTTTATACTGTGGTTTCCTACTTTTACTATAAGATCTGAGTACTTCGTCCACCTCTGTTTACGGATGACAGAAGCAACATATCAACACATAACATTGCTTTATATTTTAGGTAAGCCTCCATATTTAACCAATAACTCAATATAAGTTTCCCACTGATCCACACACACTGAAACAGCAGCCAGAGCTGTCTGCCACAGGCCCGCTGCATTATCAACAGGAGACAACAGTGCTAACTAATGCACGCCACTACAGAAACACAACATGAAGCCAAGGAGGAGAGGGGTTATATAATAACATTGTGCGTTTTACTCGTGTAAAGTCACCTGTTTAACTCAGGACTTATACAAAACACACAGTATTTCTACTTTTACCTAGGTAAAATATCTGCTAACTCCTCTGCAGTTAATCACTTTCTCTCATTAATTAAACACTTGTCTCTGTTTCACACAATGCAACTACTTAATGTTTATTTTAACTCATGAGCAACTTGACATTAAACTGCTGACCATACCAACACTATCAAACAAAAAAAAGGATGAATGAGTCTCTGGGACGGACTAAGCCCCGGCTCCTGAGCAGCGAGGGTTTGAAACAGTGCGGCAGGAGTAAATTACAAGGCAGGAGCCGCTCGGAGGAAGTCATTCTCTTCCTGTAGAAAACAATTAAATTGGCAGAGGAGAGATCTGACTCGTCCTCATGTTTAACCAGCTGCAGCAGACGGCACTTCCTGTCTACCCCCCCCCCCCCTTGTGCTTTTAATTAACAAGCAAACAGGTCAGACGCTTGTCACGGGGGCATCTTCCCCGCAATGCAGCCGAGTCGGGGGGGGGGTTACGTAAGATAACAGTGGATGCAAGGCAGTCTTTGAATTATTCATATCTTACACTGCACTGTGACTTTCATTCATCTATTTTATACCCGTGTTATTCTAGCTTTTTTCAAGTATTTTAAATTCTCTTAGCTTCTTAATGACTGTTTTTAAATGTCAATGAACTTGCATCGCTAGAAGAGAAGATTTTTGTCATATATTGCCATGTTGTCGTATATTCATTGAACTACGTTTTTGAGTATTTATATTTGGTGTAAATCTAGTCTTTATTCTTTTTTAATGTTAAATAGTTTATATTCATGTTTTCTTTATTATAATTGTTATATTTTTGACCCTCTCTTACCACTTATAATAATAGATTACATTTGTATAGCACCTTTCAAGGGACCCAAGGCCGCTTTACATGGTGAACAAACAAACGGGGCAAATAATAAAGTAGAAAATGAAATACATAGCAGTAGGAGTGGAAGCAGGGGGACTGTGATGGGTTAGGGGTCAAAGGCCATGGTGAACAGGTGAGTTTTTAATGATGATTTATTTCCTTATGTTGTTCATGTTTACACCGCAAAGCAAATTCCTTGTTTGTGTAAACGTCCTGGCGATAAATTCAGATTCTAAAGACTTCCTCACCTTACAAACGGCGGCCTGCAGGATGGCGTCGAACCCGCCCTCCGGAGCGTCGCGGTTGCGAGACACCATCTGCTTCTGCACCTCCTGGTTGAAGCGGTCCACTTTGTCCGTCAGCGAGAGGATGTGGCGGAAACCGAAGGTGGGGACGCAGTTGGGGAACAGTTTGTATCTGTGGGGGGTCGGAGATGAAAGGTCACCTATTATGCAAAATCCACTTTTTCATGTCTTTTCTACATCAACATGTGTAAAGAGATTCTGAAGGTAAAATAGTATTGCGATTACTTTTTAGTGATATTGCAATTAGAATATAACATTCATATTGGACGGAATAATCATAATTTTTGCATTATGTTTGTCGATTCCAATAAAAATATGTTGGCATGATTCAAAGTTTGCAAGAATAAAACAAAGAAATAAGTTTGAATATCATTTGCAGGACATCTCTGCAGCTCCAACAGTACTTCATTCAGAATGATGTTTTGACACATATTTAGCCTTTTCAAACACTCCACCGTCCTGTGATTCATATATGGCACAAGTCCATATGAAACTCAGACTCATTGTTGAGGCTACAACACACACACACAACACACACACACACACACACACACACACACACACACACACACACACACACACACACACACACACACACACACACACACCACACACACACACACACCATCACACACACACACACACACACACACACACACACACACACACACACACCACACACACACACAAACACACACACACACACACACACACACACACACACACACACACACACACACACACACACACACACACACACACACACACACACACACACACACACACACACACACACACACACACACACACACACACACACACACACACACACACACACACACACACACACACACACACACACACACACACAAACACACACACACAACCACACACACAACACACACCACACACCACACACACACACACACACACACACACCACACACACACATCACACACACACACCACACACACACACACAACACACACACACACAACAACACACACACACACACACACCACACACACACACACACACACAAACACACACACACACACACACACACACACACACACACACACACACAATAAGCCATAGCCTAGATGTGAAGTGATGCGCGATGCCAAAGCGCTCTCAGCTCCGGGGCAAACATGGGTGCTCCGCAGCTTCTGACCCTCTGTCGTCACTTTGCCCTCAGCGACAAACCCTGCTGCATCCCTCTGCTTTATCAAATATGAATAATCTCCCATCCCTGCAACTGAAGGATATCCAACCATGCATGTTTCGAGGTGTTGCAAAAATAGAACGAGGTGGTGTTTGAGTCAATGTACTTCACTTTCAGGCTCCTTGCTTCGTTTAATATTCATGCTTAACCCCTCCTGTCGGTTCGTTTCTCCGCCCTACTTTGGGGTTCAATTTTGATCCGGTCTGTTTTTAACTGCTCTTAATTTAACACAAAAAAACATGAATCATCACCGAATTAGTTTAACCCCCTTTTAAGCTGTAAACTATTTCTCAGACTACTGGTTTACACGTATAACTGCAGTGAACATACAAAGAATAAACACTGAAAATGTAATTAAAATGAACTTTCTTCGATTTGTGGGTTTGTAATATCTGATGGATGAACATTGTCGAGGGTTACCCTTTCATTTACGTGTGGCGAACATCATAGGTGTTACCAAGTTGTATATTGTATATGTAAATGTCCCCTCTGCTGGACGAATACAGGTATTCTGATATGTTGAAATGCCTACTGTGGAGGATATCATAAGGGCCTTGAGGCAATCATAAAACATAATATTTGTGATTGATGAAAGTAGTATGTCGGTCACATTTGACCCGAACATGACAGGAGGGTTCAATCCTGCAGCCGCTACTCACCCATTGCACGGATTCTCCTGGTACTTGGGAGCAGTGTAGGAGAAGGGAGACATGTTTTTGTCCACGAAGGAGCCGAAGCCCAGCCTGAAGTTGCTGGTGAGCTTTCCCATCTCCAGGGCCAGCTTGGTGCCCAGGTTACGGATGGTCTCCAGATCGTCTTTCATGGAGAGAGAGAGGTCCATCAGGTAGTAGAGATCCACGGGGTAATCCTCCACCTGCCGCACCTGCAGCTCAAACCACGTCTGGTCTCCTGGAGGGGCCGAGGAGAGAAGCTGGTTTACTCACACTAACACTTAAAGAGGTACTTACTCCAAACAAAATGACACACAATTCTTAAAGAAAGGTTGTTTTCATGCCTCCAGGGAGAAAGAAGAATCCAAAAACTATAGAATCATCTTGACGAATTGAAGTAAATGGGGGCAGCAGTAAACAACAGGGACACTTTATCAAAACATTTATTTACAAACCGTCTCATTTATCCAGGCCCCATGCATACTACTTTACAAACACATGCATATGACTAAAACCAGATTATTTAAAACACTACTAGACAGTCTCATGCTTTTGCAGACGTGATGCTCTGTGTTCATAAAGTCAGCTTCTATTATAAAATGCATGAAATGATCAAAATAGTGAGCATGCCACTGAAAACGCAAGACTTGGATGACATTGCACGAGTGTTGTGATAGTTTGTAAACAGATGTTTCGATAAAGTTTTTAAAGCTATTTTAACACCTGGCCGTCATTTACTTTAATTCATTCAGACTTTTCTCAGATGTTGGATTCTTCTTTCATTGCTTCTTTAAAAAAAATTGGTGGGTGAGGTATTCCATTAAGACTAGAGGAAAGAAGCTTTGTATTATTCATTATGTGACTTTTTTTAACCAAACCTTCTCTCAGGCGTGTGCACTCTAAAGTCTATCTTTACCTGGCCGCAGGCTGAGGGAGAGTTTCTGAGGCTGAATCTGAACCACGTCGTTCTGGGTCCACCCGGACCCTTTGGAGCTCAGAGGCATGTTGTGCAGCACCGAGACGCTGCTGGTGGGGGTACTCGATGAACCGAGCGTCACAGCCTCTCTTCTGCAGGTTCTGACTGAAATCACAGCGTGTCAGAGTCCGCCCCCTCCCAAACTCCTGAAGGATGGAGAGGAAACAAACCTTACGTTACTGACAGTGGTGGGAAACATAATGATAGTGGCCTACAATCATTGTTTGACCTCCAGAGATGGCAAAAGTACACACATCCTGTACTCGAGTAGAAGTACACATACTCGTGTTTTAAAGATACTCTGGTAAAAGTACTGACTAAACTTCTGTACTCAAGTAAAAGTAAAGAAGTATGGGCTTTGAAATGTACTTAAGTAAAAAGTACCCATAGCTACCAGCTGCTTTAAAGAGTACCTGACCTCCCTTTATATTAATAGAACAATAATGTCATTGTTAGCTAATGAATGTTTCCATGCTGAACAACGGCAACATGACAACGTTTCCATTGGTCCCTCTTCTTTAGAGAAGACCAGGAAATGATGGATACACGGATCGTGTTCAAATCAATAGGCACGCAATGACTCTAAAGAATAATGATCACGCATCAAACACACATTCAGACTAAAGGAACCAGCTGTTGGAAAATGAGAGAAGTAGAAAGTACAAGTATTTGAGTTCAACATGTAAGAAGTAGAAAGTACAGGTATTTGTGTTCAACATGTAAGAAGTAGAAAGTACAGGTATTTGAGTTCAACATGTAAGAAGTAGAAAGTACAGGTATTTGGGTTCAACATGTAAGAAGTAGAAAGTACAGGTATTTGGGTTTAACATGTAAGAAGTAGAAAGTACAGGTATTTGTGTTCAACATGTAAGAAGTAGAAAGTACAGGTATTTGTGTTCACATGTAAGAAGTAGAAAGTACAGGTATTTGGGTTCAACATGTAAGAAGTAGAAAGTACAGGTATTTGGGTTCAACATGTAAGAAGTAGAAAGTACAAGTATTTGTGTTCAACATGTAAGAAGTAGAAAGTACAGGTATTTGGGTTCAACATGTAAGAAGTAGAAAGTACAGGTATTTGGGTTTCACATGTAAGAAGTAGAAAGTACAGGTATTCTTTGTGTTCAACATGTAAGAAGTAGAAAGTACAGGTATTTGTGTTCAACATGTAAGAAGTAGAAAGTACAGGTATTTGTGTTCCAACATGTAAGAAGTAGAAAGTACAGGTATTTGTGTTCAAACATGTAAGAAGTAGAAAGTACAGGTATTTGGTGTTCAACATGTAAGAAGTAGAAAGTACAGGGATTTGGTTCACAACATGTATAAGTACAGGTATTTGGGTTTCAACATGTAAGAAGTAGAAAGTACAAGTATTTGTGTTCAACATGTAAGAAGTAGAAAGTACAGGTATTTGTGTTCAACATGTAAGAAGTAGAAAGTTACAGGTACTTGTGTTCCAACATGTAAGAAGTAGAAAGTACAGCGTATTTGTGTTCAACATGTAAGAAGTAGAAAAGTACAGGTATTTGTGTTCAACATGTAAGAAGTAGAAAGTACAGGTATTTGTGTTCAACATGTAAGAAGTAGAAAGTACAGGTATTTGTGTTCAAAATGTGAGAAGTAGAAAGTACAGGTATTTGTGTTCAACATGTAAGAAGTAGAAATTACAGGTACTTGTGTTCAAAATGTAAGAGTAGAAAGTATTTGGTGTCAACATGTAAGAAGTAGAAAGTACAGGTATTTGTGTTCAACATGTAAGAAGTAAAAGTAAAAAGTCGTCAGAAAAATAAGTAGTGGAGTAAAGTACTGATACCAGACAAATGTAACAGTACAAGAAAAAGTACAGTAACGAAGTAATTTGTACTCCACTACTTCCCACCTCTGTTGACCTCTGTGGAAACTATACCTGCACAGTGTTTAAATCATGAGAACCATGGTACCTCTTGTGCGCACCAGGCGCAACTGCGGTGAATCAGGAGGCATTCTTCACAGGAAGTAGCGCTGCCACCCATACACATGTTAAGACCTGAAGAAGATCAGAGACAGGGAGGGTTACAGTACAAATAAATAACTGGGAAAAAAATCATTAATGTAGTTCTAATGGGACTTAAAGTTAGGGACCAGAAAACAGACCTGCTGTACTCCTTGTGAAATGTATGGTTTTCAATAGCAGTGTGTCTGTTTATTCAGCTCTATGGTAATGTTTGTTGTAATGATTTTTTCTTATGATATGTATCTCCAATTGAGGTGACATCAATGTACATCTCTCAGTAAAAATGCAGTCCAATAAAACTAACAGCAGCCAGAAAAACATACCAGTGATCTGACTCAGTGCCAACAATAGTTAAACATTAGAATATTCACAAGGAAGTTTGCATGGCATTGCAGGGGTGGTTTTCAGGTCAGTCAGTTTAAAGAGTGTTGACATTTTCACAAGTGACATCTTACTTTGAACTAAAGGCCTATAGGGATCTTTTGTTTTTGCTCAATTTGGTCAATTGATGCTTAAATGCTTAAATGCACATACAAACATTTTTAATCCAGAATTAGAGATATGTTTTGAAGGTATTCATTATATTGCCCAATTATCATTGAATTCACACACTGAAAATTAAAGAATCTAAATGATTTGTTAAATATTCCTAAAAGTCCCTAACAGAAATCTACAAACCCCTTCTTTTTCATATATCAGCTTTACATGTATTCATCTTTTCATATTGTGCTTTAAATCTATCTTCCTGAAGGACTGAGGCACAGTGCAATTCCATCATATGTTCTGATGAAAGAGGTTATAAATGATATTTTCTCAGAGCCCAAATGTTGACTCTCCTGCATGTGGCTCCAGTTTACAGTAGCTACTCTCCCTGTATGTGCCCCAAACACTGACCCACTGTGTGATGTTTCTACACAAACGGGCTCGATAGAAGATAGCAGATAATTTATTGCAAAGGCAGACAATCCCGCTTTGTCCTACCTCTGGCAGTGTGCAGAAATGTTTCCAGAAGCATGCAGCACACAGCCGCTCTCCACATCCACGTCCCCGGGCTCCACATGGTGTCAGTCGGCGTGTTGTCGAAATACCAGATTTGTGTGTCTATTCGCAGCTGACACCGGTAATTACTTTACCATTAGCCCTCTCATTGGATTAACTCCTCTTTATGTGTGCAAACCTCCACAGTAAAGTGTGCTTTTAGACCATCTCAGTCCCTCTACAGCGCGTTGTCTGGGCTCACAGTGCTGTATCCGCGTAAAAGGCATGGAGACTCTTCCATTGTTTTTAGATTGTGCAGAAAGGGAGTGCTCCTCGCAGTCCTGTTGATCCTGAGGTTCTGTTGTTGGACTTCTCCACAGCAGATTTCCACGTCCTAATGACTACTTCACCCATAGCTGACAGCAACTCCACAACTTCTCAATGGATTTCATGGCGCTCCTCGGTACCACACGGTGGAATTATGCGCAAAAAAAAGGTGTATAGGAAACAAAAAAAGGCCAAACAAAGATAAATGAATACACACAACTCCAACAGCGGGTTTCTGGCTGCTCCAGGTTTCAGTGTTGCTTTTTTCGGTTGGTCCGGTTTGTGTCCCAGCTGGAATCTCCGCCCATTCCCTATAGCAGGGATTATATTAACCCCTCCGCTGCTGGTTGAACAGTTGGCACCACACTGTGGTTTAAAACCCGACAGGAGGCAGAGGAGCTTGCGGACACCTAGTGGTGGATCCTGGGCAATCATCCAGGAACTGGGCCCATTTTCCACCAAACCGGTTTCCAGAGGTGAAATACATACTTCAAATTAAAGGTCACCTCTGCAAATCCACTTTTTCATGTCTTTTCAGATCAACATATGTCCCCCTCTGTGTTATAAAGAGATTCTGAAAGTTTCAGGAAAAAAGATTCTCTCTCTTTTTGTCCTGATCATGGGCGTCGCCTGGGGTAGGCATCCGGGGCTAAAGCCCCCGGATGTTTTTTCTTTAGCCCCGGACAAATTCTCCCTCAATAATATAATACATTAACCGTAATTTACCTAGAGGACGGCAGGATTGTAATTTCCCGTGTTCAGTGAATGCAACAGAGGCAAGACACCACCAGACCAATCAGACAGTTGCATGGAAATAAACTTGTTTTATTGGCTGACAGTGACAGGTACGTACCTCTCCTCTGTGACAGTGTTTACACTTTCAGCCGCGGACGCCGAGTTTCTGAAGATGGACATTAGACATTTTTTAAATAAAAAAGACGGCAATTCTCAAATGGTGGCTCACACAAACAACCCCAGAGCCACCACCTGAGCCAGGTGAACAAGGTATGTACATGTCAGTAAACTTACAAGTTATGTCAACATGTAAGCAAAGCATAAATTATAGCCACGTTGACGTTACTTTGAATCGCGCGGGTAAGCTAAACCGTTAGCAAGTAGCTATAGCTAGCCAGATATATTAAATAAACACTTTGTCATACAATCTAAATGTTGTGTTTTTTAGCGTTACCTGGTGATTTCAAAGAAAGCTCTCTGGGAAATGTTGACTTACTGTCTGTGTTCGACATGAAGCTAGAAGCTACCTTACATTACACAGTTGATCCTGAGTCCTGTCAGTTAAAGTGTTTCATAGTTAGCTTAGCTAAGCATCAACCTAGCACTGAAATATATGGATATTATGTGACAGTATTTCTGAGAAAAAGTCAGCTGAAATGGTGGCATGCCACTGCTTTACGTCGACAGCATGTTTGAACGTATTTGCAGCAGTAAATGTGGCTGTTTGGCCACTGACGTTGCCATAACAACACCTGCATTTAAATGTGCAACCTCTTTTGTGACAGATTTTTGCAAGAAATTATAATTCTTCTGATTGATATTTCCTATTGACAGCTAGTTTCTATGTGAACATTATGAGATGGACAGCCAGCTAACAAGCTTTTTATACAAATATTTCAGATCAAAGCCAATCCAGTGGGGCTCCTGAAAGGGGGAAGGGACACTATGCTCCCAAATATTAAGCCTTGACCCCCATCTTAAAATTGATATGATCCAAAAATATCTGCATTGTCGGAGGCCTTTTTTCCTCATTATTATCATGTCAAATTGTACAGCTTTCCTTAGTGTTGAATGCAGAAAGATGACTATATTAGAGTATTAAGTGAAAATGACTATATTAAAGTGTTAAGTGAATGTATTAAGTGAATTACTCAAACTGCATTTGTATAGGAATGATTCTGTCCTATTGGCAGATAACTACTCTTAACACTGATATCTAACAAGATGTTTCCAATGTAAATTTAACTATTTTCAATTGGTTAGTATTACATTTTGTGACAGTGTGGTGACACTCATTTTAATGAAGACACATTTGTGTATCTTGAAATTCGTTTATTTGACAGAGCTGGAAACTGATTGACTTACATACTTGTTTGTGTTTACCTACACAGTCATCACAGATGAGCCAAACAGAGTAGAGGATGAAGAAAGGAGAACAGGAGAAAGGGACACACAAGAAGGAGATACAACAGACAAGAACAACAATGGAGACAACAATGAACAGGAACACCAGAACAGACAAGAGGCAATGGGTAACTGGGGAACTGATTTAGGGACTGCAGATACAGGGCCAAGGCAAGTGAGACATCACTGCTTTCCATTTGGCCAGCAAAAGAGATCATTTCAACCGCAAACAGCAAGAGATGAGGGATTATTATTTCCTCCTTCCATCCCTTTGTTCTGTTTAATCTGATTACTAACAACTTCTAATCATTTGACATAGTTTATGATTTAATTGGAAAATGAAGTGTTTTTAAATAATAAACCCGTTTCTGATTCTTTGATTTCTTTTTGACATATGGGTGTTGAGAGATGTATCCATATCTCTTAATGTTGCTCTCAAAGTGCACAAGATTGATGCTTTTAACTTCAATATTTAAAAAAAGTCTTCCTGGGGGGCCCCCCCAGAGGAGGTGAGTTCCCCCCAAAATAGCACTTTATCTCTGCTTATGTAACTCCGGTGTAGTGTCCGCTCGTCAACAGATCACTCAGAGCTGATTACTTTCCTGCATTTCAATGGACAGCATATAAAAAGGACACGTGAGCTGCATTGCTTAAGAGATCCTCTCATGCTATCTCTTTTACAAAATAAGTGTCCAGTCAACAACAAAACATCAGTGATCGTATAGTGGTAGTATATTTTTCACAAGCAATGTGAAACATTAAACTTGTTCGCTGGGCATGTCAAAAACCTCCCTGCTTTGATCAAGACTTTAGGGAGCCTTTAGCCCCTCTAGCAAAGGGACTGGAAAGCAAGCTTTGAAAATTCAGTACCATCTACATGCTGTCATGTTCCAGACACTGCTCTCAACCACTCAGGGCCTGCACAAATACCTGCAGAAAGAAACAATTGACTTGGTGCAGGCTGTAGATTACAAAACAGCAGTTGAGAACACACTGAAAAGTTACCGAAGTAACAAGAAAGCACATGAGGTCTATGACAAGACCAAGGCCCTGTGCAATGATCTTGATATTCCCGAAACTGTGACACAGAGGAAGAAGCGTAGAAACATGGAAGACTTTGTAGTCGAGGCATCATGTGGAGCAATGTGAAACATTAAACATAAATAAACTGGTGTACAAAACTCACATACCTGCATTTCAATGGACAGCATAAAAGGACACGTGAGCTGGGTTCTGGTGCTCAGATTAGCTATTGATGATCACGTTGATAAATCATATAAAACAAATAGCCAATCACACAAAAAACATGTTGCTGTGACTGTGAGCATTAAACAATTAACATTAAACTAAACAAACACAACAGTACGTTATTGTCCTTATAAAATAAAAACATACATTTTGTCCACCGAGATAATACAGGCACCTTACCCTCAAGTGATCCTCAGGTGCTATGAGAATCTCCCACAATGCATTGCCGTAACAAAGCTAATGCAGGCACACGTTTGTGACACCAGATGGCGCAATTGTGTATGTGAAATTGTAGAAATGTAGAAAATTCGACTGTAGCGCCGCCACTGTGGGCTAAGCCCCGAATGTTTCCAGGTCCAGGCGACCTGTCTGAAAATGAGCTGATCAGATTTTGGCCACCTTATGTCATAACGATTTTTTGGCTTGTGTAACCATTAGCCAATCAGCAACCAAGGTAACCCCCCCCCCACACCTTATCACCTGAATCTCCTCTAGAGCAGGGGTTCCCAACCCCCGGTGTTACTGCCGGGCCGTGAAATAGCTGGGAGTTTATCGTAATATTTGCAGAATTATAATCATAATGTTTTTTTCAAAAAGTGTTTAATTTTCGCACCTATGCCAGTCATATTATTTCATCCAGTAGCGTATTAATTTTTCATCAGAAAACCATTGAAAATGGCTTTTATGATGTTCCGAGGGATTCGGCGGCTCAGCCTGGTCTCAGCCTCTCGTGTGCACGAGAAAGTTACCGGTGCGCCAAGTAGGAAGAGGAGCACACAGGAGACAACCGTTTCATTGCAGACTGTTATGTTTATGTGGGGAAATGGCAGTGCATACATTATTTGAGATATATTTACTTTGCCGTGTGTGGACGTGCATGTGTGTGTGTGGCCATGGGCGTAATTTCCACTGGGGACAGGGGGGACATGTCCCCCCCCCACTTTTCATAATCCCATTTGTGTCCCCCCCACTTTTTAAATGTTTATTTATTTATTTTTACAGGGGTTGTTGTTAGCATCTGGTGCTAGCTCGGAGCTAACGGAGATTAGTAGCTGTTTCAACAATAAGAAGAGGGAGAGCTCTTCCTGTCGGAGTGTTGAGAGCTGTATCCATACATCTCTTAATGTAGCCCTCAAAGTGCACCAGATTGATGCTTTTAACTTCAATTTAAAGAAAAAATCTTCCCGGGGTGCATGCCCCCGGACCCCCCTAGAGGATGTGAGGTCATCACAAATAAGACAGGTTCACATGGATAGGATACTAGATAAGTGTGCACACTCATTACACTACACATTTTTCTTGGATTTGTTAACACTAGTCCCTAATATATTTGTAGAAAGGCAGGAAATGGAATTAAATTGAGAACATTTTTCATTGCGGAGGACCCCCTGTTTTGTGTCCTTCTCAAACCAAAGTTACACCCTTGTGTGTGGGTTTGGTAGAGCAAGAGTGAGAGAGCGGGATATATGTTTTCTAGAAGTAAAACGAGGCAGCAGAAAAAGGATAGGTCTGTGATGTATCTTGTGAAACAGAAGAGCTAAATAAATGCAACGACCTCCCAAGAAGAGCTCGCCTCTCTCCAGTCATTCCGATAAAGTGGGTTATTGAACCCGAAGCGTGTTGCTTCTGCCCTGGGAGACGACAGAGAGTCATCCCCCCCCTGTTTCCTCGACTACGGTCTGGGAGCCGACAGGAAAGTTCAACATTGGTGACCATGAAGGGACTGTTCATGTTCAACATAAAGACAGTGGTGAGAACATAAACAGAGTAAATAAACGGTGGAGATAAACTGTGAGATTTGCCGTGCTAATTAGCAAGTTTATGCGGCTGCAAGCTAAGCTAAATGGCGACCGCTAACGCAAACGAGCCAGAGGATTGCTACGAGCTAACAAGCTATTCCAACCCGTTCATGAGTCTAACTGCTACAGAGACACAGGTGGAA